TGGTGGTGGAAAACTTGTGTCAAGATCGTAGAGAATAGGCCAGAAATGGCCTCTATACCCTAAAATAGCATTTGGAAACATAGCGTGCCCTAGCCTACCACGAAAATCCAACTAGCCGAAAAACTACCCCAGGTACATTGATTTGCACCGGCATGATCTCAGCAACGTCACTTCTAGCGACACTTTCCATGACAGTCGTCCATGTGGAACGTGTTCCTCAAGCGCTGGGCCACTTCCAGAGTCAAAATTACCTGCAGTGTGGCGCATTGCGAGCCTAGCTTACATGTGGCGCACGCCCTGCATTAGTGGCTGGTCTGGGCTTCCAATCGCCCTACGACGTTGGTTTCAGCCTCGATCTAGCCGAGAAAACCTTTCAATGAGTTTTACGAGGTCAGCCTTATCGCGTCTAAACACAACACTTCTATGGTTGGCAATGCTATAACTTGATATTAAGAGGACTTGGGAGGTACTTTGATGAGCTCCTCGTTACGACAGCGTACAAAATCAATATTACCACCATGTGGGGCGTATGTCACCGGCCTGTAAAGCGGCCTGTACAACAACCTTACCCAAAGTAGTAATTCGTAGGAACGGTCGTGGAAGGGGTAACTGCGTCGAATGGCCGTCCCCTTCCTCATGTCGCTGCACGCATGAACACTCAACCCATCACAGCAGCAGGGATGGAAGACACCCCTGACCCTGCGACGATGGCCTTGGCTCAGTCGAGGACTGCCTCAGAGAAAAAAAATCACATATGCTGCCCTGTCGGAATCGAGTCAGGTGCCACTGTCGACATTGTGCCATCGAAATCATGGGAGGCAATCAAAGCAACAAGCTGCTGCCCAAAAGCAATACCTCACTCCGTGCGAGGAAAAGGCCCTGGTCGAATACCTCCTTCGAGCGGGCGAACGGGGTTTCCCCATCCCACTCAAACTCCTACCCTATCTGGCCCACGTTATCGTCCGCCAGCGCTCCTCTCCTTCCCAGACCCCTGCGACTGATGTCGTGGTGGAACCTCCGGGCGAAAAATGGGCTCGAGGCTTCCGTGGCCGTCACCCAGAAATTGCCGCGAAAAAGTTGAGGCCACTAGAGTGGGCCCGAAACAATATCTATGACAAGGTCGTCCACTGGTTCACGATAATCGAGAAAGAATTGCATGATCCGGCAATTCGGCCAGAAAATGCGTATAATATGGATGAGACAAGGAACATGCTGGGCATTTTAAATGCTCGAAAGTTTCTCGTCGGTGACCATGAGCCGAAAAAGTAATCGAGGGACAGGGATTAATCGCGAGTTGGTGACGGCGGTCGAATGTATCTCGGCAGACGGGAGGGTCCTTGATCCACTCATCATCTGGCCAGCACTCACCCAGCGGAGTGCTTGGACCACACATCCGACGCCGGGATGGCATTTGCCTGCTCTCCGAGTGGCTATACCAACCGTGACATCGTACTGGACTGGTACCGCCGCGTATTCGACCCTCAGACCAAATAACGGGCCAATGGTCGGCCGCGAATCCTGATCAATGACGGGTTTGGGCCGCACGAGTCTCCCGAGGTGTTGCACTTCTGTCTTGAAAACAACATCATCCTCTGCCGACTACCGTCACACACCTCCCACAAGCTGCAGCCATGTGATGTCAGCGTGTTCGGGCCTCTGAAGACGGCCTATCGTGAGCTCGTGGAGAACTTATTTCGTGGAGGGTCCAACACAGTAGGTAAGCAACACTTCACCCAACTTTACAGCCAGGCTCGCCGTACCGCATTCACCCCTCGGAACATCAAGTCGGGGTAGGCAAAAGCGGGACTTGCCCCCTTTAACCCCGACCGCGTCCTCCGGGATATCGAGAAACCGCCAGTCGAGACAGTCCCGAGTGGTGGGACAGCAGAAATACCTCCTAGTGCTAAGCCACTGAAAATCCCAGTGACCGCCGAGAACCTTGCGTCTTTACGCCGACTGATGGACCAGAAAATCCATTCCCTAGACAAGGAAAGTCAACAGTATTTTCAGAAATTCGCCAACGGGGCCCAAGGGTTTGTGGCGGCACGTGATCTTCTCGCCAACGAAAATGCAGATTTGGTCAAACAGAACAACGAAAAGAAAACTCGAGCGTCGAGCTCGACGGTGGTGGGCAAGGGTCATATCATGAGTTATGAAGATATTTTAGAGATGCAGAAGCAGCGACAGGAGGGTGAGATTCGGGGGCTGAAACGTAAAACCTCCAACTTCGTGTCTTGGCATAAGGAAGTCGAAGCAGCCGAGCGCGAAATTCAGGCATTGGGATTGGAGGCGTTTTGTTCAGTGTTTTGAATGACATCAACCCTCCTCCGCCGATGTTGGTTGCAAAGCTGAAGGAGGTTGCCGCAGTGACAACTTAAGTAGCTACTGAAGGGGAGCACTCACATAGTAGTGTCCTACGGTGAAGCATCGGCCTTTTGGCGTCAACACCCGCATCTCTGTCGTGTGATTCTGCCTGACGCTTTTTGTCGGCCTGTTTCATGATGCTACTGATAGACCCCAAAAACGTATAAGACTGAGCAGTATTTCCCATCTGCAACCCTGAGATAATTGCCAGAACTACATCAGTACCCCGCCTTTCTTCTAGCCCTCGTACCAATCCCTTCGTTCGAACCATGGAGAATCCACCTTCCTACACTATCCCGATATATATCGCCACCGCTATCCCGTTCCAAAACGCAGGGCCACCTTTGGGGCCGAAATCGGCAGTGGAGATTGGCAGCTTCTATCTCGGAAGCCCCAATGTGATAAATCGGTGGTCCACCGAGTCCGTTGAATTTGGCCGCAAAACCATCCAGTCATGCTTCGGAACCTGCGGCATCCCTAGCACGGATGTTGCTCTTTACTTCGCAGAGATAACTTGCGAGAGAGGCACTGTGTGGCATCCTGCTGCTGCATATGCGACAGAGGTGAGAATGGGACTGCTCGCAGACCCCGGTGTTGAATGCAAGACGGCCAGCACATACCGTTTGACCGCCACCACGTCCAGCCCGAGGGCGGTAACATTCACCGGCGGAACTGAGCTCAACTCCATATTCCATGCCGGTCTACTCTACCCCGATGAGATTCAGCTCATTGGAGGGGCGGTGGAGTCGCCGGGATTCCTGGTTGTTTTGGCGGGGTCCGCACGATTCGCGACTATCTATGGGACGTTCAGATGGACAGCGGGTCAACTACGGGGGAGGGACCTGCCACATTCTCCGCGAACGAGAAGACCTTCACCAGGGAGGAAGAGGCCATCCAAACGCTATGTCGTGAAAAGAATCTGACACCTATCTTCATCTACGCACGCGCGCTGCTTGGTTCCGAGATGGAAGTGACAGCCATGAAAGAGTCCAACTACCGCACGGCCGGAGGGGGTCATATGCCCGAGGAAGTGCGGGTTGCCGATGGCGAGGACAACGCCAACAAGACGAGGGACTTCACTCAGGCCATTGAAACCCTGATGCGTGAGGAATCCTTCCAGATGACGGATCCCCTCGCGCTGTTTTTGTTCCACGCGGGCCCCGAGGTGAGAGATCTTGAGCGACAATTTGATGCGAGACCATCCCGATCTTGCGCAAAAGGTGCGCGAGGCCCCGGCGCGCGTTTGGCTGTCTACTGAGAAGGCGCATCTCAATGATGAGTTTGCTAGGGCTTTGCGTATATACTAGCTTGGCAAGAAGTCCGTCATCAGTGACAGTAAATCAACTTGACGCACTATTCAGGGCAACTTGTCAGAGGACTTGTGCTGAAATTGGTAGACCAGCGTCACCTGACAGAACGAATGACTCTCATATTGCTAACTAGGTCGCCCTTTTATAGAGCACGTAGACTTCCAAGACTGTTGGCAGGAAGAGAAAAAGAAATCAAAATCCCTACTGAATCCTGGGATGGGCTCGACGGGACCAGGAAAGCAGGGTGGACCCGTTGCATGTGCCCTCGGGGTAGGCCATTCGGAGAACTCTTGTGAATTCCATTATCCAGGAGGAAATAAAGGAATCACAGGAGGGTCCGAACTCGTCGTGTTGGGCAAATGGAATACAGGTGTTTTCAATTGCTGCTTCGCTCGGAGACACTCCAAATCATTCAGGTCCCACATTTCCACACGGCTGCCTGAGAGCTAGACTATATATAGTCAAGTGCGCAGGCCCTCAGTGGCCAATCACAATATCATTCATTCTAATCACATATCACCCATTATAATACCGTACAAGACATCACTAAGCCACTCAGAATGCCAAGGGAGCAATTTTTAATAGCGGCACGAGGTTTAAACCCTACTTTAACTCAATAATTGATGCCGTCGTATATAAGCGACCTAGCCCTAAATACCTTGCTGCTCACTATCCTGTCGTCTAGCACATTATGCATTACCGATGTGATGCGCTTGAAGCCCGAATGCTGAAGTTTGGGGCACCTTCAAAACATGCCCAAGAACTACTTTAGCTGCTTCTGAACACTGCTCACATCAGTATCTAGCTCGATAGCTATATCCTCTCCTTTAGCGCAGCCTGGTGTCGTTGACAAGCTACTGTTGTGGGATGTTCTGGACCAAGAACCCGATGGTACCCTTCAACCGCGCGGTCGTAAAGACTAAGAGCCTCGCTAAAACGCCGAGTAGTACTTAGGAGATCAGCTAGATAATAAATACTAGTCGACGTGTCTAGGTAATCTAATCCTAGTACCTTTTCCCTTCCCGCTAGTGCCCGCCGATTCATCTCTTCCGCCTTAGCGTACTTCCCTTAATCTCGCAGTACCGATGCTAGATTGCTTACACTAGTCAACGTGTCGGGATAATCTAACCCTAGCACCTTCTCCCTCCCCGCTAGTGCTCGCTAACTCATCTCTTCTACCTCGCTATACTTCCCTTAGTATCGCAGCACCGATACTAGATTGTCCACGCTGGTTAACGTGTCGGGATAATCCAACCCTAGTACCTTCTCGTACTCCGCTAGTGCTCGCCGGTATATTACTTCCGCCTTACCGTACTTCCCTTAGTATTACAGTACTAATGCTAGATCGTTTACGCTAGTCAACGTGTCAGGATAATCTAACTCCAGTACCTTCTCCCTCCCCGCTAGGGCTCGCCGTTTTATCTTTTCCGCCTCGGTATACTTCCCTTAATCTCGCAGCACCGATACTAGATTACTTATGCTAGTTAATATGTGAGGATAATCTAACCCTAGCACCTTCTCCCTCCCCGCTAGTACTCGCCGATTCATCTCTTCCGCCTTAGTATACTTCCCTTGATATCGCAGCACCGATACTAGATTGTCCACGCTCGTCAACGTGTCTAGATAATCCGATCCTAGTACCTTCTCCCTCCCCGCCAGTACTCGCCGATTCATCTCTTCCGCCTCGCTGTACTTCCCTTAGTATTACAGCACTAATACTAGATTACTCACGCTAGTCAACGTGTAAGGATAATCTAACCCTAGCCCCTCTCCGAACCCCGCTAGGGCTCGCCGATTTATCTCTTCCGCCTCAGTATACTTCCCTTGATCTTGTAGCACTGATGCTAGATTGTTCACACTAGTTAACGTGGAAGGATAATCTAACCCTAGTACCTTCTCGTACTCCGCTAGTACTCGCCGGTGCATTACTTCCGCCTTACCGTACTTCCCTTGGTATTATAGTACTAATGCTAGATCGTTCACGCTAGTTAACGTGTCGGGATAATCTAACCCCAGCACCTCTCTAAACCCCGCTAGGGCCCGCCGATTCATCTCTTCCGCCTCGGCGTACTTCCCTTAATTCGCAAGCACTAGTACTACTATTCCTATACTCTTAACGGTTTCTATATCCTTAGGCCCTAGAGCTCCTTATCTAATAGTAAGGCTACTTCGAACTATACTCTCTACCTAGACGTATTGTCCACGCTACTAAGTATACTATAATCCATTATATAATACCTTCGCCTATAATCGACGGTGTTAGAGACTCGATACACCGTATAGCTGTAGTACAACTATATATGGGAATAATACCTAGTAAGTCGCCTAGTTCGTATACTCTCCATTCGGAAAGACCGCTCCCATTATATTAATATATCGTTCTTACCATTCGACGAGCTCTCCACGCATTTCGAGCTATTTCTACGTCGATAACTACACTAATCGATGCATATTAAATAGATAATTATCTAAACCGATGCCGATAAGGTTAAACCCTCGCAGGGCCGCAATGTCGTCCTTAAAGTCGATCTCGCCTTCTTACGCGTCCACATAACGACCCTAAAGTAGATCCTCGGGGATCGCTTCTCGGTCAAATAGACACATTAGGGCTAATAATCGCGCCGCTAAGTCTCGCGTCTACCGTAAATGTATAAATGTAATATACTAGGTTATAATGATCGAATTCGATGCTTACCGATCTCGGCGGGAATCGCGAATATCTTTCTAGAGAAGTCGATCCCGTTCGTTGTCATTCTTCTTAAGCATCTCGATGTACCGGAATACGGTCATCCGTAGAGCGCACTAGTCGATATATACAGCAGCTTAACTAACCGCTAGCGGTATATAGTCGAGCTCCCGAACCAGCTGCTCCACCGCCTCGATACTCGACTTTCCTCCTCCTCCTCCTTTCTTCAATTTCTTGAGGAACAACTCCTTCGCCACATCTACTTCCATCGGCCGCACCTCCAGCACGTCTTCATGATACACTTATAATCTACTCACCACCTCTTAATTACGCGACGTGACTACGATCGATCCGTTACGCGAGATAGGGAGAAACTTAGAGAGTAACCGGTCTCTAGACGGAACCCCCGTCCCTCTCGGTATCCCGCCATTACACGGCTCGAATAGGATACTACTGTCGTCTACGTTGTCCACAATCATTGTCCACTGACCGTGACGCTCGTCCGATAGCCACCCGCATACCATCCCCAGCACATCGGCGTTCGGCTGGTCGAGGCCGGGAAGGCGTAGAAACGTCGCGATGGTGCGAAAGCTTTCTTCAAACCGGGTGGTCGTGCTGGCGTAGACCTAGAACACCTAGATCTACGGGTCGGAGTCTAACACTCGGTAGGCATACTCGATCGCCACTTATGACTTTCTTCCAATGGTGTCAGCCGGTGAGCTTAGTGATTACTGCCTAATCTGGCTTACCCGACTCCTCCCAGTCCCACCAGAGCGACTCGCGCTCCCGGTTCGGAGGCTTTCTGCCAGAGGTTAGTGAGGACATCGCGCTCGACGAAGTCGGGGTCGCGGCGGTAGGGGATGACCAGTGACGGCGTAGGAGGAGTGGCGGATCTCCTAGGTGCTAACGTACAGAATCAAAGTCAGTATATGTCGTTAGGATGAAGGCCGAGAAGCGCCGGATGAAATAAATATTGTCACAACGTAGCCATGTCACACGTACTAGATGGGTTGTTGAAGTTGATGGTTCCTAGGTTTGTCCCCACCTGTGCGGCCCGGTTGTCGGCACCGCTAAAATAGGTGGTGTAAGACGTCATTCCGAGCCGTTTTCGCTCTCGGTAGTTATTGAGGCTGGAGCGGAAGGGATGACCACACAGCTATCGCCAAGCAATGGGAGACATGTCTAGACAAAGTTATGGACGACGTCGTTCAAGATGCGTAAGGCTGAAGAAGACCAGATCACCGACCGCGCCATCGTCTATGCACGTGATCAATGCGACCGCATGCGGAGATCCTTTGAACCACTCCTCAGCGTATTCTTCGGCTGCATGCACTCTTCCAGACTACAACGAACTATGATCCAGCGGTGCATTACGGTCAGACATCGATCTCATACAAGTTAATTAGACACCACGTTGCAGTTATGGCTCCCCGAAAATACGTTCCTCTAGAAGCCTACACCATTGGGCTGATCTACATCAAACCACTCGAGATGAACGCCATCACGGTCATGTTGGATGAAGAACACGAGTCGGTCCCTTTGGCACTGGAAGATAAGAATGAATACATACTCGGCCGCATAGGAAAGCACAATGTCGCCGTGGTAGGGCCGGCTCGAGGCGCTCAAGGGAAAGTTGCTATCGCAGATGTCGTCGGATCCATCCGTTGGACCTTTAAAAACATGAACTTAGGCCTACTCGTGGGAATCGGCGGAGGGGTCCCTCATCTGCCGAAGCACGATGTGAGACTCGGAGATGTGGTGGTCGGAGCGCCCGAGGTAGGTCCGGCGGTCGTGCAGTATGATCTCGGAAAGGAGCTGCCCACAGGCTTCGAAGTCACCCGAACGCTCAACAAGCCACCATCGTTACTTCTACAGGTGGTCAATGCGGTGGAGGATCAATACCTCCGGCAGGAAGAGGGAGAAGATAGTTTCTTTAGCAGACACCTTCAGCGTTTCTACAAATACCCTCGACTCAGGGACCGGTATCGACGTCCAACCAGTGCCGATCGGCTCTTTCAAGACAGCTATCGCCATGAACCGGGCATGGAGTGCCGCACCCACGAGCAGAAATATGAACAGGTACGCACCGAACGTAGCCCTGCTGATGAGATCCAAATTCACTACAGCACGATCCTCTCCGGGGATCGAGTCATGAAATCCGAAGTCACTCGAGACAAGATCAGCGCACAGTTCAACAACGCCCTCTGTTTCGAAATGGAAGCCGCTGGACTGATGGATATCTTTCCCTGTCTGGTCATTCGGGGCATTTGTGACTACTCGGACTCTCACAAGAACAAAGATTGGCAAGAGTTTGCGGCAGCCACCGCCGCGTCGTACGCACGGGAGCTTCTGCTGACCATAGCAGAGAGAGTAGTGCAAGGATTAGAACGTCCGGCAGCACTTCCACAATCTGAGGAAGTGTCGACCAGATCTCCTTCAAATGTTTCTCAGATACCCAATGACCAGCGCTCAAGTGTGATCTTTTCAGGAGCTAACAATTCAGGACTTCAGACTGGATACAACTCTGGGACCATCACATGGGGCCCTCCGAAGTAGGTTGGTTACGACAAACAAGGCATGATCAAGCTTGCACCTATATTAACCAAAGTGGGATCAAAGAAGATCCCCGCCGATCCGAGGGCGATCTCACCGCCTACGTACTCCGAAGCACACCAAGCGAGGAGTGACGCGCCTGGAGTCTCGTATTGTCAAGCCGTTCGACCAGAATCCGTGTGCCATGTGCAACCGGTGGCTTTACCCTGTATCGTAACACCCAGTGCTATTCATCCCGATGAGGTCAGAGAACCAATCACTCTCCAAAGTCTTATTATGCAGCACAAATTTAACAAAATGATACGTAACTATAGGATGATCAGTGTCAAAGGGGAATCTGCGCCACAAATTGGCCAAACTCGGATGTGGTTACGCCACTTAAGTGTGGCTGGCCCGCGAACTTTCGGGCTCGAGTCATAGTTGATTCAAGGGGAGTCACGTGCTCAAGGACTCGTCATTTGATGCAGAGTATCCTAGAGAATGTTCTCGAAATGACGTTTCTTCAACATATCCAGTAGCGTTGTGACAACGTAGGTCTGTCGAGGCACTCAGACATAGGATAGGATGGGGCGAAAGCTGTCTGCGTCACAGCACGCTCTCAGCCGGGCCATGCTTGCAGTTGGACATCTCGAACCCTCGCAAATTGCTAAAAGTATTCCGTGTACGCCCCGAACCGTCCAAACGCACCGCGCTAACTACCGTCGATTTGGCACGACTGCTGCGCCCCTCAATCGTGGCGGACGTCGACGATCAATTACCCCTTACATGCTAGAGGCGGTGTTAGAACTCCTCGATGAGCAGAACGATCTATACCTTGACGAGATAGCTGATTTCTTACTATTAGAGTACGAAATCCCAGTGTCACTTCCAACTATCAGCAGGGCTTTGAAGTCAAGTGGCTTGTCTAAGAAAGTCCCACGTCGAAGAGCAGGTGAACAATGCCAAGATTTAAGAGATGCCTACCAATACAAGCTATCCTTTCTGGACCCCGAAAAACTCGTGTTCATCGACGAATCGGGGTGTGATAGACGAGTTGGGTTCAGACGTACAGCCTGGTCCCCTCGTGGGATCACACCGGTTCAGGTCAGCCGATTTCATCGCGGGCAACGATACCAAATCCTGCCTGCATTCACGACCAATGGCATTCTTCGTGCACGTGTGTTCAAAGAGGCGACCAATGGCGAGATTTTTGAAGACTTTGTTGGCGAACTTGTTCATCTTTGCGAGAGGGGTTTTGTGTTCATTATGGACAATGCATCATTTCATCGCTCAGAAAAGGTGAGGCAGCTGTGTGCTAATGCAGGAATTCGGCTGGAATATCTGCCCCCGTACTCTCCTGATTTAAATCCGATTGAAGAGTTCTTTGCCCGGTTGAAGGCGTATATCAGGAGGAAGATGAGGACCATGGACCCAGGGATAGATTTCGCAGAATTCCTTGAAGCATGCATCGATGAAGTCGGAAGAGATGAGGCAAGTGCTAGAGGGCACTTCAGAAATGCTGGCATTTCTTTTCATTAATTATGAACATACTTCCCAAGCAGTTGAGTTCCAGATCATGAAAGTTCCTCGCCAATAAATGGATAATACTCTTAACAATACTCTTAGTAATACTCTTAGCAATACTCTTGACAATACTCTTGACAATACTCTTAACAATACACTTGAACATACTCTTGACAATTAACGCTGTGCCAAATATTTAATCAATCTTTCCCAAACTCCTATACCTGGCTTGCATTCGCTTTCTGATGTTCGACGAAAGCGGGGATATCCCTGATAAATTGCTCTGCTGGAGCTTTTTTCACATCTCGCGCGATGAAAAAATCAGGCTTGTAGTCGCGGAAGACTTGGTCGAGATCAAGAAGATCTTCCAACACGATATTGCCGGCCTTTTCGTACTCAGCTTTATGCCGCTGACTACGAACTGTGCCTTGCAGATAGCGAACATAATCCTGAACTGCATCATCGCGAAAACCTGGAATTTCTAGAGCACTCACCGTTTTCGGAGTTACGTGTGCCGGCTCAGTCCTCGCTGGTGGAGGCTGTAGCGAGGTCGGCTCAGAATGACCCGGCATGTAATTAGTGATATTGACAGGAGGATAACCTTGAGGAGATACTGCTCTTGCTTTTCTTTTGCGATCATGTCTTTGCTGATCTTGTAGGCGAATTTCGTCTCGAAGACCCTGAGGGACATCATTCGGAGTGTTCAGAGGGTTGCCTTCTTCGGCATATCTAATGAGTTTCCTGAGTAGAGGAGTATTCAGCTTCCGGTGGACCCCGGCGTCAGGATCTGGCCAACAGTAATTGGGCGCATTGCACGAATTCAAAAGACAGCGGAAGAGGTGGTATACTCCCAGCCCAATCGCAAGCTCACCCGATGCCTCTTCGTCTTCAAGCTCTGCATCGAGTTCCGCCCGCATTCGTTGTGTGGCAGATCGTGCCGATCTCTTATCCACCTTCTTCGATGAACCGGCCGTGGAGTGTCGGCCTGCTTCTTCATAATCGTTGTAATTAACGGATAGATCCACTCGCAGTTCCTTGCCCGGGAAGAGTCCGCCCCACTTGATGAGTTGCTTCTCAATGTCGACCCAGACAATGTCGGTCTCATTGTACTGCTTAATCAGGGGACGTTCTCCCCTCTGTTTGACGGAGACTGTGACCTCTGTCTCTTGTAACATCATGTTCTTCCTCTGTGCACGCTTCTTGGCCGCAGCAGCCTCTACCTTTGAATGTAAGAATAGTTCCCAGTACGAAGCGAGTGTCAACACGACGTCCACCTCAGTGTCTCGGCTAAAAGGCTTGTCGTTCAAAGTCAGTTTCCAACCAATCGTGATGCGAAGGCAAATAGGAGGGTCATGATCGTATGTTTTATTTCGATCCCATTCCGACAAGGGCAGGAAAGCAAGCTTTTCTGCTCGTGGTTGAGGGCAGATACAGGGGGTGGATGTTCTCAGTGTTCCATCGAGATCGGTATATGGTGACGCGTGATGGTCAGAGAAGGGAGAGAAAGAGGTCGTCTGACCAGCCCCGCAGGGTGTTGGTGCATACAAGAAGTCTTGGGAATCAAACTCGTCGGAAGGGATCAGATCACTGAAACGACTGGACGAGCCCATGGCATCAAATCGTACCAGCGATTTGCGCTACGTGCTCTGAAGGTTGGATGAAATGGTGTACAGTGTCCTGTTCTGGACACTTGGGTGTAGTCGACCGCGGTCGACCGCAGTTGACCACCGCCCCGATTCCATTGGCTCCAGCACCCCATCCACCATTTCTGCCCAGCTTCATCCATTTCCATCCGCGAACAGTATCTTCATGCTTTTGTGGAGGTTTTCAGAGGCTGCAAAATATCCAGTTCCGTTCTCTTGTCCTGTGTTGCTTGTTCTAGTCCTCAATGGATTGCTGCAAGTAAGGCAAAGGTCACCCGGGTGCCGTTCTTGACGCTTCCCAACGCAAAAATGATGTATACCCCATTTATTGCAACATAGATACGTTTAATGGTAGCTCTGCCCTTTCCCATATCGGATTTCGAGGTACTTTGGTTGAGGTCTGACCGAGAAAGCCAAGTCAATTGTATTGTCACCATTGTTTCACGACCATTGTGTCAAGTTTTTAAGCGCCATCTGGAGTCTCTCTCAAGATGTACAAATTCTTCCTTTCGTCACTGTGTGTAAGCGGGAGGAGGGAGGTTCGATACGGAAGATCTTCTTCCTCGTAACTCTCTCGCTCGGCGGCTGGATTGTGCCTGCGGCTTGCAGAAGGAAGGATGTGTTCATCGACGGATGGAGCGAAGGTGGATTTGGTACACTGGAGGAATGCGACGCCTGCAACTACCTGAGTCATTGATGAGTTGATACATACCTGGAGCAGCCCAATGATGAGCTGATTTCATTATGGCGGACAGGGCGGCCGGGCTTCGAAGACAGGCATGCAAGCTTTACCATACCACGGTAACCGAATTACGTGACAGCGCACGAGTCGACGCAGGTCGTAAGGCTTCAATTGGAGTATGGTTATCTGCTGAGAGGGAAAGGAGCAAAGCAGTAAAAGATAATAAGCGTGAAAAATGTAGATTAGGGGGGATGGAGCAGGCAGATTTATCAATCATAAGCCGAGGCCCTCAAGTTTCCGTGGAGTTACGACAAATGGCGCGGGGAAGAAGGCACACGCCCGACTCGCCATCAATGGGCATGAAACTTCCACTATCCTATTGTGAGTTAGGACCAATGAATCCGCCCCCCTTCCATGATCGAAGTCCGGGAATCATGGGGAGCGTATGAAACGGTCAAACTGTCTGTTGTGGCCACACAAAAGCATTTAGGGGATGAGCCAGGCTCCAAACCTTACCCACTATCCATTTCTAGGACAAGTGCACTCATAGCGTGACGAAACTTAGAACTACTTAGGTCTTAAATTATGTATCCGGGGTGTATGTAAGGCGCAATTGAAAATGCTATGTTACCATATACCTTTTGTCACATATCGATACTTTAAAACGGGGCTATTCACGAACGGCAGGGGACGTGTAAGGCTAGCCTATACCTATCTTTAGCTAGCCAATAAATTCGACGGCAAAACTCCAAGATAGCTTTCTTGCAAGGCTGGGAGAAAGTATTGCATGACCTCTCTCGTATTCGTGCTCGACTAAGTCTGCGGAGGGATTTTGCCATACTGTATCCCCATGCACCACTGTCCTCTTCTAGAGACATCTCTAATGTTCCATCTGCTAACGTAGAGCATTCGTTTCTTGAGATGACGTCACATGCGGCTAGCTTCAGCGGCGTGAATAACCGCGGCATTGAAGTAGGGTCGAATTTAGGATCCATCGTCTACCAACCTAGTAAGTTTAGCATCAGGTGTTGGACCACCGGATAATTGGTCCTCGGAGTTGACCTATCTGTGCTACGTCGAACTAATCGAAGTTGTCGCAAGTCTTCCCCCCACCTCCGCCTCCTCCCACGCCCTCACTGGTCATCCCCTACCGCCGCGACCCCGACTTCGTCGAGCGCGATGTCCTCACCGACCTCTGGCAAAAGGCCTCCGAACCGGGAGCGCGAGTCGCTCTGGTGGGACTCGGAGGAATCGGGTAAGACAGATCAGTGGCAACGATCACAATTCACTTGGCTGACACCACCGCTCAAGAAAGTCTCAAGTAGCGATCGAGTATGCCTACCGAGTGTCGGACACCGACCCGCCGACCTGGGTGTTCTAGGTACACGCCAGTACGGCTACCCGGTTTGAAGAGAGCTTTCGCACTATCGCGACGTCTCTACGTCTCCCAAGCCTCAACCAGCCGAACGCCGATGTGCTAGGGACGGTGCACGGATGGCTATCGGACGAGTGTCACGACCGGTGGACGATAGTCGTGGATAACGTAGACGATAGTGATGTCCTCTTTAAACCGTAGGATAGCGGGACACGTGGAGGGACGGCGCTTACGTCTAGAGACCGGTCGCTGTCCGAATATCTCCCTATCTCGCGCCACGGGTCGATCGTAGTTACGTCGCGCAATCAAGAGGTGGTGAGTAGGATACAAGTGCGTCACGAAGACATTTTAGAGGTACGACCTATGGGATTGGATGTGGCGAAGGAGTTATTCCTTAAGAAGTTAAAGAAAGGAGGAAATGGAGGAGGAGGAGGAAAGTCGAGTGTCGAGGAGGTGGAGTAGCTAGTTCGGTAGCTCGACTATATGCCACTAGCGATTAGTTAAGCCGCTGCGTATATCGACTAGTGCGCTCTACGGATGACGGTATCCCGGTACATCGAGATCCTTAAGAAGGATGACAACGAACGGGATCAACTTCTCTAGAAAGATATTCGCGATTCTCGCCGAGATCGGTAAGCGTCGAACTCGATTATTATAACCTAGTATATTATATTTATACATTTACGGTAGACACGAGACTCAGCGGCCCGACTACTAGCCCTGATGTATCTATTTGACCGGGAAGCGATCCCTAAGGATCTACTCTACGGTCGTTATACGGAAGAGAAAAATAGTGAGATCGACTTTAAGGACGACATCGCGGCCCTACGAGGGTTTAACCTTATCGGCATCGGGGTGGACTATAATCTATTTAATATACATCGATTGATATAGTTATCGACTTAGAAATAGCTCGAAATACGGAGCGAGCTCGTCGAATGGTAAGAACGATATATTAGTATTATAGGAGGGGTCTTTCCGAATGGAGAGTATGCGAACTGGGCGATCTACTAGAAATTATTCGCGTACGTAGTGGTGCTATAGCTATAGGATATATTAAGTGTCCAATACCGTCGGTTATAGGCGAAGTTATTATACTATGGATTATAGTATACTTAGCAGCGTAGACAGTACGTCTAGGTAGAGACTATAGTTCGAAGCAGCCTTAGTATTAGATAAGAAACTCTAGGGCTAGAGGATATAGAGATATTAGGTAGTATAGGAATATTATCACTAGTACTGACAAATTAAGGGAAGTATACTAAGGCGGAAGAGATAAACCGGCGGGCACTAGCGGGGTACGAGAAGGTACTAGGGTTAGATTATCTAGATACATTAACCAGCGTAAGTAATCTAGTATCGGTGCTGTAAGATTAAGGGAAGTACGGTGAGGCGGAAGAGATGAACCGGCGAGCCCTAGCGGGGAGGGAGAAGGTGCTAGGGTTAGACTATCCTTACACGTTAACTAGCGTGGATAATCTAGCATCGGTACTGCGATATCAAGGGAAGTACGGTAAGGCGGAAGAGATAAACCGGCGAGTACTAGCGGAGAGGGAGAATATACTAGGGTTAGATTATCTAGACACGTTAATCAGCGTGGGCAATCTAGCATTAGTGCTACGATATTAAGGGAAGTACGGTGAGGCGGAAGAGATAAACCGGCGAGCACTAGCGGGGAGGGAGAATATACTGGGGTTGGATTATCTAGACACGTTAATTAGCGTAGGTAATCTAGCATTAGTGCTGCGATATTAAGGGAAGTACGGTGAGGCGGAAGAGATGAATCGGCGGGCACTAGCGGGGTACGAGAAGGTACTGGGGTCGGATCATCTAGATACGTTAACTACCATCTATTATCTAGCTGACCTCCTAAGCGCTACCCAGCGTTTTCGCGAGGCTCTTAGTCTTTACGACCGCGCGGTTACAGGATATCGTCGGGTTCTTGGTCCGGAATATCCCACGACAGTAGCTTATCAACGACACCAGGCTGCGCTAAAGGAGAGGATATATCTATCGAGCTAAATACTGATGTAAGCAGTATTCAGAAGCAGCTAAAGTAGTTTTTGGGCATCCCATGAGTGTGCCACAAACCTTCAGCATCTGGGCTTCGAGCGCATGATATTGGTGATGCGTTATATATTGGCCGACAGGACAGCGAGCAGCAAGGTAAGTTAGTCGCGACTGGATCTGCCCTAATACGACCGAATCAATCATTAGTTGAGCAGAATTGAAACCTCGTGCCGCTATGAGAATTACTCCCTTGGCATTCTTAACGCCTTAGCGGTGTATTGTATGGTCTTGTAAGAGGCAACATGTGATTAGAATGAATGATATCGTGATTGGCCACCAAGGGCATACGCACTTGACTATACACAGTCTAGCTCTCAGGCAGCCATGTGGAAATGTGGGACTTAAATAATTTGGAGTGTCTCCGCGCGAAGCAGCAATTGAAAACACCTGTACGGGACCTCCGTGACCTGCGTGCAAAAACAGGGGTGGCCCTCCTGGTGGTTTCGGAGCGCATTTGATGATTTCATCTGTTTCCCAACGCTTGACACCTCTGTAGAGAGTTTATTGCATCTCAGTTCCACCACCATTCATCGCCGAGAAGCCATTTCGATGGAAATTGCATGCGCCAAAGATGCCCATGCTGTTGTCTTCTCGGACTCAATCATTTATTGCGCCATTTTCAGACGGCACTCGCTGGTGATTCCTCAATTGCAAGGGGTGCTATCCTGCCATCGGCGCACTGGGTCGCAGTGCTGGTTTATTCACCACCCATGGCATTGACAAGCCCCTTCGTAGGACCTCCTCCTTCTTCTCCTCGATCTTGATGTAACGATCAGACGACCTGCCTAGAAGATCCCAGACAAAAGCTAGCACGTTTCAAAGGTCTTTCGTCAGGTGGGGACGACAGTCCAGGCACATTTCCGATCTCACGTCCCGTCCATTCCAATCACCAGTGTATGTTTGATGGATCTACTGTCTAGCCATCATCTTTCATGGAAGGGAATAAATAACCTTGTGGAGGATGCCCTCGATTCGGATGCCTCCCTGGATCTCCAGATTTAATTGCCACTTTGGGGAGGCTTAGAATCGGGCCTAATAGATCAATACTGTATCAGAGGATATACTTATAAGCAGCTTTTTTCCCCTGTAAATGATGATCCTCAAACCCACGCACGAAAGTCTTAGACGCTCTCGCAGCTAACGCAGCTCGCTTTACCCAGCTTCTACTCGTAAAAGGCCGTGGTCTGCTGTTTTTCATCGCCAACACCTTTACTCGTTCTAAATCAGCACTTTGATCGGAGTATGTGAGTACCGATAGTTCATCGCAGATGAAACGAATGACCTCGCCATCCTCTTCGTATCGGCCCGCAGAGAGTAACAGCACCTTATCGACCGTTATCTGACCTTTCGCACCGTCTTTCATAAACTGTTTAGCCTCTGACTAGCTATGGGTGGCCGCCCCTTTTTATCGTAGCCCTCCACGCACCCAACGCAGGCCCGAAAAGCGTAGGATGGAGGTTCCTCTTCAAAACTATGGGAATGTCCTCATCGGTTTTGAAATAGGGTGGCAAGAGATCTGCCTTTTTAGTGCACTCAGTAGGTGTTGGTGCACTAGGCTTACGCTTCCGGCTGGGGTCACGGGTTAAGGAGCTTGCAGACATGACCTTTCGTGACTACAAGTAAAGCGTTTATCTGGAAGTCGTTACAGTACCATCCTCGAATGTTTTCTGGAAGCTCTCGAGTATCCCTCGAACCTTGTCGACAGGTACCGATGATCCTTGTCCTCGGCGGCAGCACCGGGCGTTGTAGAGTTCATTGTAGGCTCGCTAGACAGGGAGTTTGACTTTTTACTATACAGAATGTTTCAGTTGTAGTTGGAGAAGTGAGAGTGTGCTGCGTTCATATGTTCCGTTGCGAAGCAGGTAACTTGCCTAAAGTCCTGGCCCAGGAGGTCGAGGAGTAAGGCTTGTGGTAGCCTGCCAAGAATGCAACTGCCGTAATTTTACTGCCGGTAACACAGACCGAATACTTGTTCGGTGTCAATACGGTATCAAATAGCTTTTGTAAACAGCAGTACGCAAAGATAAAGCCATACTCAGCGATCAACGTGGTCGAAAAGATGGCTTGGGAGCGAGCTGGGTCCTCGTATACCGAGTATCTCACTGGAAGGTTTTTCGGGTAAGTTAGGGCCAGTGCTCAGGGCGACAAATCCATCAAGAGCGAAGATCAGCCGCTAATGCAGGATCCATTGCGTCTGCGGCACAACGCAGCCCATGCTCCACACCTTAAGTAATCTTTCAACTTTACTAGTCGGCGGGGGCTTAGAATGAGTTACGAATGTTCGGCAATTGAAGACTCGATTAGATATGCTGTTGTTGAGCTGTCGCAGCTGTAAGCCACTTTACCAAGGAAGTTTTCTGTAGGAGGGCTTGTTCTGCGGATCACTGTTTCCGCGCCCCAAAGTGGTTCGTGGGGAGGACACCATAATTGACAGCCATGGAGGGACCATAGCATTTGTCGACGACTTTACAGCGTGGGTCACCCTATCGAGACCATAAAGCCTCCCCCTCCCTCATGTATTCGGAGACCTATTTCTCAGAAGCTCTACACGTACTGGGACCATTTATCTCCTCCTATTTATTTCCACTCGAGGTATTAGAAGATATGTGCAGGTGGAATCGACTCACTCTACCACAATAGGATTCGCTTTACAACTAGGACTGAGATCGTAATTCCAAAAAGGATATAAGGCTTCGGGCGTTAAGAACTCTTCAGCGCTCTGAAAATCATCATCATCCAACGTAAACTCATTGGGTGCTAGCGTACTGAAGCGGGGGGTTTTCGTTGATGTCATTGTATTGCAAGATTAGGCAGTTTGAAACAAACTTCACCCAAAAAGAAAAGAATCTGTATACACTCTACTACTGTAGTGAAGAATTTCGAGGTTGGGATGGAAAGATTAGTGTCGGCATGAAGGTGCATCATGAAAGTAAACAAACTTCAACGCGTCAGGTTGCTATAGGGTTACTGTACAACTTACGGAGGAGGCTTTTTATATGTAGGCACCCGGGCTTGAGGCCTAGCTTATCTAAAACCTTATAGCAAGATAAACGAGAGGCCACGGATGATCGCCGGCAAAGATTTCTCGATGACTTCGAGGTTGCTTGACGCTTTATCTGGGTACTCTGGGGGCTCAATAGGTATGTAACTTAACTGTAGGATATGGCATGGAGCCAGAGGGTAAGAGAAATCGATCGCCCAATAAGGGGGGGGGATGGGAGCGGGTGGCGGCGAACAAAAGTGTTGGGTCGAATAGAACAATGAAATGTCGAGCCGGTCGTCCGACCAATCCGCAGCGTTGAGCACAACAAACACAACCATCAGAGCTTACGAATTACGACAGTGATTCAGTTGTACTGTAACAGTACATACATAACCTACAGTAAAGATATCAGAGGATGGGGCATATGATTGAAATCTCTATTGGACACGTCCCGTGTCGATCTGGGCCAACGAACGTTCAGCAAGTAGAACCTCCGAACCCGACACACCGAGAGATGAACCACTCATACGGCAACGGATGCGAATTTGGAGATTTCTAACCGATACGTATTGCACTGTTGATACTGTACAGTACTGCCTGGACACTGAATTCGTTGTCCCGGCTCCCGCTGAAAAGCCCTCCCCTCATCCTAGCAGGGTGCCGGAGTTGGGTTCTTTTCCTTTCCCATGTCGAGGCCAACTTCAGGATTCGCCAGGTGCACCCGCAGTGAACAACCCAGGTCATTGGTCATTTGGAAGATCCCCGAACGTCGTCGAGTTGCCATGGGGACCCAATCGGCAGGCCGGTTGGACAACTGATCTCCCCACGAGAAATCGGCCAAGTGTTGCTCCTTGGGGACATTTTAACACCACATGACTCTAAGCTATAGGAGCGAGGAAGCGGTCGATATGAGAGAGTGCGGGATCCATCTGGCTCGCTGTCCACGTCTTTTCACACCAACGCCACTTTGGCTCTCTGGGATCCGCGCTTGATCTCCGCGCCTGGTAGAATGAGCCTTTCCTCGCCCGGGGGGCGATGGGACGGATTGGGGTTGATGCCTTCCTCGTCGTTGATGCCCTCCTCGTCGTCCGCGGAGCCCCTCTCGTTTGACGAGCACCTCACGAACGCTTTTGTCTGCACGACGGTCCAGGGATACCAATGGATCATCGGCATCTCATCGGCCAAGTACATCGCTCGGCGAGTACCTCACCTGTATCCCCACGATCCCCGCTCCTGGTCCAGTCTGCGCAATTGCATTGTTTGCCTTCTCAAGCTGGGATTCCTAGCCCAGGCTCACTGTGTCTGCAACGTGGTCAAGGAGCGACTGGAGAGAGCCAACGGGAAGAACTCTCCCATATGGGTGGCGGTGACCTGCTACGAGGCCATCTGCCACTACGAAGCCGGTCAAGAGCAAACGGCGACGGGATTGTTCGAGTACCTCCTTCGTCGAGATATACTGAGGAGCACAACACCCCTCCCGGCGGAAGACTTCGAGGTCCTGGTCTGGTACCGGGGCAAGAGAAGTGTCCAGTATCTCGTCCTGCGTGACGCAGGGGACCCCCGACGTGGAGAGCCGGTTCACGAGTACAACAAAATCATCAGTGTGGAAGGGGAGAGCATCGCCGCGTACCTCCGTGAGATCAATAATCAGGTGAACAAGCAAGTCCTTAACAAAGATGAAGGTGTGTGGGTGCTGGTGTGCAAGATTTTGAAGTCCGAGAAGTCTTGCAAGGATTATTGGGAGCGAGACCCTCTGAAGGCCCTCGGCGTCCTCTCTGCTCCCGAAGGGGTGGTGAAACCTCAGCCTTACCTATCCGATCCTCGTTTGACTAGATCCTTGCCCCCCACGCTTGACCCGGGTGGATCACTAGGAAATCTCATCCCATTGACGGTTCTCAGTCCGGATCAGTGGCGG